TTAGTTGTATGGGATGACAGTTGGAGATTTTAAGAAGAACAAATGTCTATGATAGTTTGTCTATCTTTATTGTCACTTACAGACCTTTCAATTGTTTATCTTTCTACCTTGAGTTCCGAAAGTACTTTTACAAATCTATATGCAAATATGAAGAAAAGAGACTAACAACATGATCTTATCAAACAGTTTTAAGTGCCCTAAGTACTTTGTCCTTGAAGTCTTCAGCGTCTGCACTTCAAGCAAGGGAGAGATGGAAGAGACTGAAAAACAAAGCACATTTGTACTGATTTTAAGGTTCCACATGCCTCTTACACGGCAGAACACCTCTGTTTTACTTATCTTCTCCTGAAAGGCTGTCTATCATCTGTGTAATGTAAGGAGCAACATGGTTGCAAATGCTACTCCTGATAATTTTTTTTTTTTTTTTTTTTACAGAGAAATCACCATTTTCTCTATCCCACTTAAATCACCCAACCTGTGTTACCTTCCCCTGTACCCTCTACCTTGATTTGGCTCCTATTATACGCAAAATTTATAGGAGGCTAATTGATTCAGCACAGCTTATCTAACTCAGAAATGAATGGGGGAAAGCTAAACCATCTCGTTTTTTTATCAGATTGTGAACAGAAGTCTATGTCACAGTCTGTCTCCCAGGGGGCAGTGTGATGAACTAATCATGTAATGATCTATTAGGTCACAGCAAATAATTAAGGCACTTGATACAGTGGTCTGTGTGACACCATCCTGTAGTGATTCTGAAAGGATTTTCCATAAATTTAAGAACAGGGTCTTTAATTCCCTAATTTAAAATCTACATCACAGCTAATTAAGAACAGGATGGCTCAAACTAAGGCATAACTTGACCGGCAATATCTTGAGAATGACTATATTCCATGCAGAAAAGAAAAATTTCCATACTTAGTTCTTCCCACAGCAAAGGTATCTGCTGAAAAAGGAATACACACTTTATAGCTTTAGTGATCAGCATTACAAAAGAAAGTATAAGACAGTTTGCAGACACCAGAAGCCAACTGCCTGACATTTTTATATTATAAAACACGTTTAAAATGCCACAGGAGAAAAAATTTTCCCAAGCGAGAGGAAGACACCCAGGAAGTAAGGACAAGATTAACATTAGAAAAGTTACGTAAAAATGCTTAGAAATTTCTTTCAGGACATTTTTTTTTTTTTTTAATGGAAGTTAAGTCACACACTGTCAAGAAGAATTTAGGTGTGGACTAGACTAAAATCAAAACAGTACTTCACAATATTTCCATCTTCTAGGTAGGCACTCACAGAACTTTACATATTTTATTACATGACAAGCATGAATAGTCTTATTTTATAAATAGAAATGCAAAATTTTGAAAATATAAGTTATACCAGTTCAAAGTGACTCATAGTATGTAGTGCTTTAATGTGTTAGAAAATTCAAGATAAACATAAATTCTCAAAATCTAGACTGTCTGATATAAAATGTTTTGACCTTTATTTTTATTTCAAAATTTATATAATAATCTTTATACTATGAATATTCTATAACTTATTTTATTTCCAACTTAATTGCCAAATTACAACTATGGCTTCTTTTCATGCTAAGATTTTTGATAATCTAATGTATTTAAGAAAAGAAAGTATTTAGGTATATTTCCCTATATGTATTTGCATATGTAATTAGGAAAAAATACAGTAATACTAGATACAAGACTTTTGTTCTAAAATATTGCATTTTTCTATATATCAACATATTGCACAGCTCAATTAAGACTTAAATCGCCTAAACAGCTAATTGTAAATTAGTTCAAATGCAGCTAAGACCAGAAATAGAAAATACTTGTTTAAATAATGAATTAAGGATCACCAAAAAATAATCATACATCAACCATTCTCAGTGAAGTATCATTTACCATCAATAGATTACTTTTACTATTATGTATGTTTCTAAGTAAAATAAAGAAGATACTGTATCCCAGCAACAAAAGATATTCTAAATCATCTGAAAATAGCATTATAATTTAATAACATAAACAAAAATAATAAATTACTTTAAAATATTTATGAAACTTAAAAATCTCCATTTATGTCAGTGATCTGATTTTAATTTGTGATGTTTAAGCAATTAAAAGAGCCATAAAAATTTTGATTGCATTATGTTATCGAAACTATTTTAGCATTCTTTTTGGTTCTATAAAGAAAAGGGGAAAAATCCTTAAGTAAGTAATTTGGGTACTGCTGCTTACATTTTTTCCTTTTTTGCATCATAGATGCAGCAAATGTACAAAATTTATAGAGGATTATCATAAATATTACATCTAACGTAGAACTATTAAATACAAACAATTGATTTGGAATAGCACACTGAATGTGAAAAGAAATGCTTTAAATAATAAACTTTGTGAAAATATACACAACTTTCTGCAATGTTTATCTTTTGCTCCTTTTAATTTACTTCAGATTATATAATAAATATTTTTATAGTGAACAATAGTTACAAAAACTATTAATGATGTGGTCTGGTAAAACAAATTAAGAATATTTAAAAAGTAGTAGTCATTGCATAATTCAGAACTTCCTAAATTAAATTTCTTTGTAACCCACTGATACTATTAAATTCTTTAAAGCAAGAAGAGTATTTAACTCCTGTATTACTAGCATTCCACACTTAGAACCAGAACCACAGGTTATTTCACACAACTATAAAAATAGACTGCTCCCATGGGCATGTGACACTTTTTAAAATAGCTTGAGTACTTATCTCTGTCAATACCTCAAACAGCACATTATCTTTCTCCTTAGGATTTTACAACTTGGAAATAAACATAGAAATCACGGTTTCTGCAGAACATTTAGCAATTAGCCAATAAAATTCTTTTTAAACTAAGTTGTTAAAATTAACACATTATCCATGTGTCAAATTATATGGTAGGCCTGTAAATCTGTGTAATTAGTCAAGGTACTTACATCAAAATATGGATACATAAGCAAAATATTACCTCATAATATTAAACAAGCTTAATTCATCATTGTAAGTCACTTCTACTTAATCAAATATGTTAATAACTTGACTTATCCAAAAGTTATGTAATGATGTGAACAGCCCTACTTGAATTTTTATTTGTAAGAAAGTAGTAGTTGTAACCTTATTTAGATGAGTATATGATCAACCATCATTTTAGGATTTGAAACTACATTTTCTTCATCTCTAGGTTTCGAAATCTTTATGAAGGATTATTAAACAAGATACTCATTAAGCTGAGTTTTTTTAGATGTAAACTTTGAAAAGCAGCTGCTGCTTTTGCCACATATGTTTTTTAATACCCTTTACTTTAATACTGAAAATTAAGTATCATTTATGGTGTAGAAGAACATAAAACAAGGAAACTGCTTTGAAGATTTTAATGACAAGGCAAAGAGTTGAATTACTACATTGTATTACTTAAATGTCACTGGACAAATAATTTTCTCACTAGGGTCAAAATCAATAAAGCCAATATGAAAGTTGTAAAGAGCTCATTAATAAGATTAATTAGTGCTCTACGTTAGCTACGCCAGAATATACATCAATTAGTAACTGTTAATTGAATTAGCAAAATTTATGAAAAAAGCTTGTTTTTATGTATTACTATTGAAATGAAAAATTTGCATAGAATTATACTGACTGCTACTGTGAGTAAAATTTTGTGGTATACCAAAAGTTGGAGGAATAATTGATTTGGATGGAAAAAATAAAACAGTTCTAAGTCCAAAGCGCCCACCTTTATACCCCTCCCCCCCTCCTGCAGTGGGAAGACAAAACAGAATATACATCAAGGAAAACTCAAATTCATATTAGAACTCATGATAAATTTCAATAACTGAAGGATAATATGTCAGCACTTTCCTCAATATGCAAATCTACTCGCTATCTTTAAAGTTTAGTAATGACTTTGCATCATAGTGAACAAGCAAGTTACTTCCATATACATTTCAAGGAACCACTGGAGTAAAGCAAATTAAACTTTAAGGGTAAGAACAAATAAGCAATTGCCATTAATACATATTGCCACTGTCTAGAAATGGACTTCCCCAGTACCTTGCATGTGTAGAAGGTACACTGTGTACATGGGTGATGACCCTTGAAATTAAGAATATTAATATTCCAAGGTGAGATATAAGACTAACTGGAAAAGTATTACATCAATTTCATGAAGGCTGAATTTTTATTTCAAATATATAATTACAAAGCTGTTCAATTTATTAACAAACAAGTAATTTAACAATGTTGATTTTCATCAATATTTTATGAAAGATACTTTGCATTACTGTTTGCTAAGAAAGATAGGTTTTTGATCCATGTTAAGTTATGAAACAGGCACACAAATGGGCTGTGTGCTCTGTAGAAAGAAAACAGCATACTATATGGTGTTACTGATATAAATGATAGATTTTATCCCAAACTGTCATCATCAGACTGTGGAACTGAATAGATAGTCCTAATAACTCTGCCCATGTTCCCTACCACACCACCTAAGCAACTGGGAGAAACTAAGTTTCCATAAGGTAAAAAGTTACTGCTTAGCAAAAATAATAACTGAAATATCAAAGAATATAAATTTTGTTAAAAGTTCTTCAAAATTTCAGTGATTTTGTTGGCCCAGTTTACTGTAATATGGACATACAGACAAGAGAGAAGGCAAAATCCAAAACCTGTAATGGAACTTGCACCAGACCCACCTGACCTCTCACAGTTAGGCTTCCACTTCTAACCCAAATCAAACTAAAACAAAACATAGAAAGTATCTTTTTATCTTGACTTCTTTTATTCCTCTTTTCCAGTGCAGTTTACCTTTTATCACACCACTGGCTACAGCCTGAAAACAAGTACCTGCTTAAACTCCAAAGTCTCAAGAGTCTTGTAAAATCAACTCATTAAAGACTTAAAAGAAAACCCAAATCTAGCCTGAAAAAGCGTTGCATGGCTTACCAATGGTCCTGTGATCTTTTCTGTGGATGGTACTTACCTGCTGTTCCCCAGGCTCTGCAGACTTTACTAGGTGTTTATCCTTGTATAGAGACCAGAGACCAATATTGGGCAGGAAAATTAAAGCCACCATGAATAATAAAGTCATCTGCAGAAATCTCTTCTGTTTCCTCTTCATGGCAAATGGTAACAGAGGAGAAAAGTTAAAGGAGATGGCTCCCTGACTGCTTCTTGGGTTTAATGCCAAAGTCCTTTCCTCTCCCCTGCGAAGCACCAGAAACTGAGGGGAAGCTACAAACTTTTGTTGCGTGCTCAGCACCAATCTGCAGGATTCAGAGGGAGTTGGCCATCTGCAGAACAAACGCACAGTTACTTTCCCCCCGGAAAACTATGACGAAGGCATTATCTATTGGCTTAGAAATAAATGACTCAACTGAGAAAATCATTAAGCCTATTGACCTCCATTAATACAAAGGAATGGAGTAAATATGATCATTTTAAAGACTAAGTTATGAGAAAGGCAATAGCATGCTAGACACTTCACAGTTGCTTCTTCTGACTTTCTCCTTTGCCCCCTCCCCACTTGGAATGGGGGTCTGGTTTGAGGAAGATCAGGTTAGGACAGAGCTGACTGATTGGGAGGGAGTGACGGACTTGTCCCCATCAAGTGTCAGAAAGGTAAGTGCCCGCTTCTGACATTGGCACATCACCTTCCCCATCTTCCCCAAACATCTGCTCCCGCTCTACCCTGGGAATAACTCACCTGAACTCAAGTTCAACTCCCTCCGGAGCCAGCTTGCCAGCCGACTCCACGGGAATCCAGAGCCACGCTATCCAGGGAAGAACTCCTGTTTGGCTAGAGGTCTGCAAACTCCGGGAGCCTCTGGCGCTGCCCAGACGCTCCGGTCAGGCAGAGGCTCGGAGACCCGGAACCTGGCGGAGAGGAGGCTACAGATGTCAGCCCAGTACAGTCAGGAAGTGAGGGCGCCACGCCGCGCCTTCCCTTCCCCTTCCCGCGCGGTCCCGGAGCGAGCTCCTCCGCCGCGCGCTCTGCCCATCAATCTCGCCCCTCGCTCGCTCGCTCGCTCGCTGGGGCGACGCTTTCACGCGCCGCCGTTCATGTTACCATTCTTCTCCGGCGACGGAGCCACCCGGAGGAGCATCGCGGGCACCTAGGAGGCACTGTTTCCGACCTCCTCCAGGAAGGCAGGGGACGCCGCGCGGCGCGGCTCGGGTCTCGCTGCGCCCGGGAGTGCGCGAGGGCTCCGGAGGCTGCGCGGGCGGAGGCGCCGCTCCCCCTGCCGGCGCCAGCCTGCGCGGAGACCCCGGTGCCGGCCACGTGCGGGAGCCCGGGCTGGAGGGAGGGCGGGACCCCGAGTGGGTGGGCGATACCTCCGGCTTCCAGACGCTATATAAACACACCCGGCCGCCTGGAGGAAGAGGAGGGCGAAGGTTCGGCGGCGGAGGACGCGGACCTCTCAGACCGCGTGAGCCTCTCTTTTTCCGGCCAGGGCTTTTCGGGGCCACCTCGGGATGAAGAGGATCCTGGCTCCCCAGTGGTCTCACCCAGAAGGCGCCAGGCCTGAGATTCCCGTGCAAAACTCGCCGTGCGCCCGCCAGTTTGCCCGGGATTCCTCCACCGTGCCGAGGGGCTCTGCGCGAGCCCGCCGCCCGGAGGCGGAGGCGCCGCCTGGCTCCACCGTCCCGCCGAGGAGGCGTCCCCCGCCGCGCGTCCCGTCCCGCCGCTCAGGCCAGGTACGTGGAGGGGAAGGAAGAGAAAGCCAATCCCGGGGCGAGGCGGAGTTCTCCGGGAGCAGCTGGTGGAGGACACTGTGGAGACTGGCGGCTCCGCGTGGGTCGGCACACACCCGGGGCCCGGTTAACATTTGGCAGTATCACCCCCTTCTTTGCACGCCTGCATTCGGGTTCCTTATCAGTGCAAGAGCTACCTGCGCCTTACTGATGTCCATCACACTTCCGTCAACAACTGGGGAACGTGGGGATGGAGATAAGTCTTTGGCAGATGGGACCTGCACCCCCTGACCCCAGGACTAATGCACCACCCTCTCGCTGTACAGACACGAACCCCTGGCAGCCTCTCCGAGGATCCAGCGTGCCTTGCACTGCTAGGGCTTGCTCCTCGGATTCAGGAGCCCTCACTCCTGAAAGAATAGGGCCTTAGGTAAGCTTGTTTCCAAGCTGTGTCAGCCTGTCCAGAGCCAAAATCCTTCGCCATGGCCATCTCTTTGTTACCAGCTAGAAATGATGTCTATTAGCTTGGGATGGATAAGGCTGTACACTGAACGGTATTTCTTCCCCTCTTTGTTGTTTTCCTCCATCTCTTCCTCTCTCCTTTTTTTCTTTATCCCCCCCCCATCCACTCTCACTTAAGTGTCTCCCTTGAGAAACACATAGAGTTGAGTGTGAAGAGGCTTTAAACTCTTCACATTATGCATTTAAAATGGCTTTGAACAATAGAGACTGGATGTATGACTTGATGAATAAAGCTTTATGCTGCGATGCTTGTTTTTCTGTGAATCGATTCTATTTTAAAAGAGTAGAAACAGAGTTAATAAGTGTTTTTAAATGTGCCTTTTTCATAAAGAACATTTATCTATAATTTTTGCACACGTGCAGTTTAAGAATCTGGAGAGCAAGGGATTTAATTCTTCTTACTCCCACACAGGTACACTTTTATACTCGAGTTATTTTCTAACCTCCTTTTTCTAAGTGCAGTTCTGATATACAGAAATGTGAATTCTGGGGAGTAGCAGAAGAACACGGAGAGATTTTCTGGGATGATTAAGTCTCAAGGAAAAAGCATTTTGAAAATTAAGCTTATTGGATATTTATTTCTTGTCTATGAGTGCAGTTACTGATCATGTAGCAAGAGGGAAAAAAACCTTGAAAGTACACTTGGAACTGAAAAGTTAAAAGTTAAAATCCTTCACATTTTAAAATCATTTACACCTCTAGAAAAATCCTGACTCAGAAATAAACATACTGTCATTGTATTTTCCAAATCCAGGATGCTCAGTATTGTTACCTTATTGAAGGTCTTAGGTAGTAGAGCACAGAACATTATTAATGACAGTGAATGGATATAACCATTAGTCCTCCAGAAAGTACATGTAAAACGAACAGTACAAAGTAGGAGAAAAATATGCTTATTTTTGCATTTACTGTGTAAACCATCACTTTTGCTCTTCTCCCCACCAACCGAGTTTATTTATTTATTTTTGACTCAGAGAAGAATCTCCCCATACCCTGCAAACTGGAGGTCTCTTACAATTCCACATGTAAACTATAAACTTAATACATCTAAGAAAACTTGATATTTTAGAATGGATTTACCAATAAAAACTGTTAAATTACTTGATCAGATAATCCAAATTAAATGCCTATACAAATACAGGCAGTCTTTAAATTGGTTATTAAGATTGATTTAATCCAAATTCTTATGTCTTATTTCCAAAGATTTAGTGTTCGCCTCTCTATGATGTTATAGTTCAGTCAGCAACCTCAGATAATCAGAGTCTCACTGTGCCTAGTAGTGTGCTAATAATTATGGGGACACATACTTTAATAAAAAAAAAAAAGCAGCTACATCTACTTTGCCACAAAGAAGGATAAACTGGAATCATTTGCAGGAAAATGCTTGCATGGGAGACCATCACATTAATGTGAAATAAATCAGACATGAAAGTTTAAATGTCACATGGTTTCTTTTTTATAAATAACTCAAAATACAAATGAACATTTATTCCGGATGAAAATATAACATAAGGACAATTGCAAGCTACTTACTGTTGTCCTAAATTGGGCCAAGCTCAAAGCCTATCTTAGAAGATGTAGGAGTATATTGTATTGGATCTCTTTTTGTACTCCAAAGTTCAGTGATTTATAATAACAAATATTTGCCATCTTAGGATTCTGTGCACTGAATTGGCTCAACTTTTGTTATTTTGTTGTACTTGACGGAGGCTAGGGCCTGGAGGTTTGTCCGGGCTGGTAAAGATGGATAGCACTGGACACTGACTTTTGGTTGGAAGATAGTCTGAGACATTCACTTAGAGCTCCTCGACCTTCTCCACATAACTAAGGATATGACCTAACCTTCTTATAACATGGCAGGTGGGATCCACATGAGAGTGCTCCAGAACACATGTCAGGAGGGAGAAATTTTTAAAAAATACAGCACTAAGTCTTCTTAATGGCTGAGTTTAGAAATGGCACAACCTACCTTCTGCGATAACCACAGGACTGACCCAGGTTCAGAGCTGGGTTGGAGATGGGGAAACAGAAAAGACATTTTAATGAGAGATTTGACAAAGAATGCTTGGGCATCTTTAATGTGCTGCAGACACCCAAAGGCACAGAGATGAGATTTCATAAAAAGGCCTACCCAGTTAACAAGAGGATAATGGAAGTGGTTTTCACAGTAGTGCTAAATCAGATTGTTCAATTGCTGTGAAGATAAAGAATTGGCTTCTTTTCATTTCCTTACCATACTGAAAAAAGTAAAAAGAAAGGCTCACAATGACATGAACTGAACATAGTTTGAAAGAAAAAAAAAATGCTCTTGATTTCATCATATTAGCAAACAACATCAAACATTAAACTTTTACATATGAAAAGGCAATACCTGTTGAAAGTCTTTTGCTCATACAGCCATGAAAGGCCATCTTTGGATGTTTTGTCTCAACACTGCAGAGTCTGAATCTGTTAAGCACTTGTTGCTAAAAGTAGCAAGGTTTATAAACTAGTACAACCACTATGGAAATCAGTATGGAAAGTCCTCCAAAACTAAAAATAGAAATTCCATTCAACAAAAGCATTCCCTTTCCAAGTATTTTCCCAAAAGGTTAAACTGCACCTTACATATCCTATGACACATGCTTGGTCACGTTGATGACAACACAGTTCCTAGCAGCTAAATCTTGAAGACAAACTCTATGTCAGTGATGGGAAACTTTTAGAGCTTCATGATGCATTCTGTTTCAGCATGTGTGCCATAGGTTCACCCACTGCTTCATGTCCATCAGGGAATGAATGAAGAAAATGTGGTACTTACATATAATGGAGTGCTGCCCTGCCACAAGAATAAAGTGGAATCATTTGCAGGAAAACACATGCACTTTGAGACTGCCATGTTAAGTGAAATAAATCAGACATGCAAGTTTATATGTCACATGGTTTCTTTTTTATAAATAACTCAAAATACAAATAAATAACAAAATAAAAAAATAGATAATAGGAAGTGGTGAGATGGAGCTTTCTCAAATGGGAAGAGGATCAAGAGATAGAAAGAGGGGGAGGAAGTAGTGAAGAAATGTTTGAGACCACTACAAAGCAGCTCTTGGCAGGACTTAAAATTAACTAACTGGCTTTCTATGTGTATCTGTGAGTCTGTCCTAGGCCTGGGCCCCTTACCTGGCGACTGGAGCTTATTCATAGTAAATGAACCTCTATGAATCACTGGTCCTGGGTGAGGCCTGTAATGCCCTGTGAGGCCAGAGATACCTCCAAGGGCAAGATAAGGCCACAGCTGAAGATACTTGGCTCCAATCTCAATTAACAAGATAGAGCCTTCCACGCACAGATTTCTCCTACAGTCTCACTTCTACCGTGTGTTCGTCATAAGACAGTGCTACTGCATTGATTTGATTCATTACTTGGAGACATCCTTGAAGTGATTCCCAAGGTCCTGCTCATTGCCTGTGCTTTCCTCAGTTTCCCTGCCCCTTATTGGACCTAATAAATAAAGTGAGTGGTCCAGAGAAGTCTTTGTCTTAGCCCTTGGAGTCTTGAGCTCAGCTAAAGGGTTTTGATGCTCTGGAGCCCTAAAATTAGATTGTTTGTCTCATTTTATTTAAACCTCCAATGTACCCTAGTTTGGGAGATCAGGGAATCTAGTTAGGACTCGATAAAGAAGGGAAT